TCACTTTTCCGGGGAATTTAATTTTTTAAAAAATCATACACGTACGCCAGCGCATAGAACTCTTTGGAAAACATTAGAATACGTTCGGAACTACACTAGAACTGTGTTAGAATAGCCAGAACTCTGACATTTCGACCAGCGTCTCACGTTCGTCCGTATTAAGATGTATCTCTCGACTGATAAAAATTATTTAAAAATTGAAAAACAACGTTTTTTCACCAGAACTCTTGCTAGAACTATTGTAGAACTCTAGGGCGCTTGAAATCCGATAAATAGCCGTCGGGAAATAGGCGGAGGACAAAGTGAGACGCTGGGTGAAGTTGGCGTCTCACTTTGCACTATTCGATTTTTTGGCTTTAAAGGCCAGAACTATGTGTTTAATGTATCAGGAACTCTAGAACTATTCTAAAAGAAGCCAGAACTCTCAATAGTTAATGAGTTTCCACGAAATGAGACGCTAGCTTCACATACACGAACTATGGCATACGCTATTATTTCCTTTTAATTAATTTTTGGCGTATTTTGTTGGTACCTTTGCACACCAAATTCTGTGACAGAAGATGACAATTTTGAAAGACATTATAGTTCTAGCGCGGATAGTGCGTAACAGTTAAGTTACAGTATAAAAACATGAAGTTTAATATATGACGGAAGATCAAAGACGAATCCAAGAAATGACGCAAGAGTAACAAAATATCAAAGGTGCAAAAATTTGTACGAGTCACTCTTTGTCAACCGGACCATCTCCTGCCCGAACAGTTTTCGTCATAAAATATTGTACATGGCTCAAAATGTAGGTATGGATCTTCAGTTTCGCGGATGTTCGCTACAAAAGAGAAACCGATTTTTTTCAAAGGAGTGTTTTACCCCCTAAATATGCGTATAGGTACGTATAAAAAAATAGGTGTTCCTTATTTTTGTCTAGAAAACAACATATTAAAAGCTTATCAAGATTGGAGGAATACACCTCGTGAGGTTTCCCTGTAACATTAATTTTAAAAGGCCACTCGATACAATAAAATTTGAGTTTATTCGACGAAAACTCATGACAGTAAGTAAGCGTTTACTATTTAAAAATATCAAAGAGTGATCGCGTATATTTCGATAATAATCTTTCGGAAAATTCTTCGCCAACGATAGGCTCTGTGAAAGACTTCTATCGAGATCACCTTGGCACGCTTATAGCATTTAAACTAAAAACCATCGTGTCGGAACTTACGTCGGTTTCGATCCCCGTTCTGTATTAATTACAAGGCAGTCAGTATCGATCACAGGGCGGGTGTTTAGCTATTACTTCAAATTGCATTGTGCGCATACCTGTACGTATTTTACACGGTGAGGAAATTGGGCAGCGCGTCGCGGGATTAACATTCGCTGTAAAATGCCGATATCATCGGCACGCGATGGCGAAGAAGTCGCATGGAGTTTTAAAGCGTATCGATTTGACGTGAGACGGCCGTTCGAGATACGAGGACCCTGTGCAAATTCTGGCAAATTTGTGGTATTACCGGCTATTAAATTTGTATGTACGTGTTGCGAGTGCATATACACATGTCGTTTTCCGTTTTCCGTTAAACGTACACTGCCGTCGAAAAGTTTCCGGACAGGAAAAAATTCTTTATAAAACACTACTTATTATTTAAAAACGGATAAATTTTATTCAGTTTACAATTAGACTTATTAAACACTTACTAAGAGTTACAGATATCACGAATTAGAACCAATCCTTAGCTTAAAACTCATGCTTTTTTTTCATCAAAGAAACCTCCCTTGGCAGACAACACCTATTTTTACCAATCGCAGCGTCCTTTCTACGAGTTTTTCCAGAACAGAATTTGGTATTTCACTCCATGCTTTCTGGAGGACCTCCTAAAGAGGTGCTTCTAAGATGTGGGACAAACCTTCCTGACCCGGCGATCAAGTTCATCCCACAGAAGTTCTATGGGATTAAGATCTGGAGATTGACACACCATCATTTTAAGCTCTCCGCTTTCCTCTTTGCGATGCAGATGGCTATAATATAATTTAGAAGTGTGTTTGGGATCATTGGGATCTTGCTGCATGATAAATCCATGATCAATTAAATGTTTACCGGATGGGATACAATGCCTACTCGGGATCGAATGGTAGCCTTTTTGTTCAAGTATTCCCTTTATTCTATGAAGATCTCCCACGCTTGTATAACTAAAACGTCCCCAAACCATCACAGATTCTCCGCCATGTTTTAACTGTAGGGGTTATGCAGTCTGGGTGTAGTTTTTCTGAAAGTGCGCGATGAACATACGTTCTTCGTTTTTTTACCAAAAACTTCGAACTTCGATTCGTCAGTCCGTAAAACTCGTTTCCGGTCTTCGATGGTCCAGTCCTTGCGATTGTGAGCCCACTGAAGTCTCTTCGACCTACTTCCGCGCCGGAGAAGCGACTTTCTAGTGGAAACTCTGCCCCAAAGACCGGCCTTGTACAAACAATCTTTGACAGTAGTTACCGATATCTGATGTTTATTTTTTTCATTTTTCATTAAACGATTTTCATTAAGTCGCGATTGAATTTCCGATGCGGTAAGCTTTCTATTAATTTTTTACATTAAGACTAGGGACTGATCCTCTGATTTGAAAGTGACTCTAGGCCTCTCAGTGCGGGTCTTGTCCTTATTACAGCCGGTTCTTTCAAAGCGAGTAATAGCATCACCTACGGTAGACCGCGGTATATTCAGTTTTTCCGCAATATAACGTACGCTGCGACCATCATTACGTAACGCAGTAACTGCTGCACGTTTTTCTACGCTCAGACTAGGCCCTCGTCCCATTTTCTTTGAAAAAAATCGAAATGTACTACATGTGTGAAAGTATTCTATTAAATTTGATTTGAACTCGGTAAAAAAAGAAAAAGCTTAAACTACTTACTAGCACGTTCTGTTGTGAATAAATAATATTGCGAAGTCAAATACAAAATTAATAACAAAATCTCGTCGATAGGGGATGCTGGAGTGATTCTGCACATTTGCACCTTTCTAACCTAAAAACTGTCAGTTCGCGGAAACATTTGTGTAATATACAAATTAAATGGCTTACGTGTACAGATCGAAAGCAGCTCGCTATTCCGGCCAAATGAAAGAACAATGGCATCACTGAAACTAAGTTTGTAAGTCTAATAAGAAATAATAGTGAGCAACACATACGGTACATGTAGTATGTGTGTTGCTCACTATTATTTTTTATTAGACGTACAAACTTAGTTTCAGTGATGTCATATTGTTCTTTAATTTAGCCGGAATAGCAAGCTGCTTTCGATCATCTGTACACGTGCCATTTAATTTGTGTATTACACAAATCTTTCCACGAAACAGACAGTTTTAAGTGCAAAAGGTGCGAAAGTGCAGAATCACTCCAGCATGACCAAAATCTTGTACACCAATGCCCACTAATGCCCAGTGGGCATTACTTTATCTTATTAGCTTATTTTATCTTATTTTATCTTTATAATGCCCCAGCAAGGCCTAATCCCAAACTAATGCCCAAAAAATGCCTAGTAATGCTTAGTAATGTCCAGTAATGCTGCAAACCTGTACACCACGATGCCCTCAGCGGTTTCCCCCTCGGTGTTTTATTAAGAATTTCCCCGACTGACACTCCTATCCGGAAACTTTTCGACGGCAGTGTACTCGTCTCAACAGAGGTTGCCGCGTCGCGAAATTCGTCTAATAATTCTTAAAGATGACGTTTGTACGCACGAATACCGTCTGTTATTTCGCAGTGATAAGAAATTGTATCGTTCCCGTTGCCTCTAGTGCTTTAGCAGCTCGTTTGCCAAATGTTTGTCGGATTTGACGTTGGTACCGCGCGTTTAATTTTAGTCGGTGTTTGTACGACTTTCATATGCGAATACTAAACTCGCAGGCCAACACCGGTACATTTGAGTAGTATACATGTAAACACGAATCGCAATCGTAGCGCGATTTAGCGAATGTTATATTTTCTTAAGCTACATTTTCCACGCAGGTCTCTTGGTACAAGCTATTATCGCCGGTTTTAATATTTTTTTTCTAAATTTAAAGTCCGTTTAGCGAACGTCACGTTCTATTTGGCGTGTATCGACTTTATTGATGTTTCTCTGATCTTTCGTGGGTCACGTAAATCCGCGTGGTAGGATATTTTTAACATACTAAATCTTCTTTAACAGAGCTAGTATTTTAAATAGAGTAAATCTGCAATTGTTCTAAATGGGACAGAAGTGCGACACGTAAAATATTTTCCCAAAACGTTCGAATAATCCGGGAACGTCGAATAGAAGTCGAAGGTAGTGTATAGAAAATCTTTGAAAGTCAGTTCTATTGCCAACCCCACCACCCCATGTGCAGCCTTCATTCAATTTGCTAAATGCGCGGAGACCGAGATCGACGGGACTGAAAGCCAAGTTCGTCGTCTCCCGTGGGACAGGCAGGAAGATTTCCGGCTTTCTTTCCCCCCCCCCCTCCCTCTCTCTCTCTCCTTCCTCTATCGCAGTTGTTTAAACAACGGATTTCCCCAGACGCACTCAGCTTCTGTATCTCGACCAGATTGCCTGAAATCGCCAGAAACGCAGAGCGCAAGGTCGCGAGAACACCGAGCGATATCTGGTGTACTAGCGGGAATAGGCCCTCACGCTCCCGGGAGAGCACATCCACGGGCGGAAACTTTATTTTCGGGCTTGTGAAATATACACGATCTACCACCGTGGAGCTAGGCGCGCGTCAGGCCGTGCTTTAAATACTATTTCGCATGCGGATGCCGTTATCGACTGTACGATAGTCGTTTATTACATCGTAGTTAACAACGCGCCGAAATCGTATTCGTGTGAGTCGCCCAATACAAAACATACGTATTTCATACCTATTCTAAGTATTTTCCTTCAGCTTCTTTCTTTCATTTCGACTTCATTTACGTCGTTTGAAACGACAAGAAGGACATCACGGAATTCTTGCTACGCAAACCGGCGAAGCGGTCCCTGCTATGTGCTCGGATGTTTAATTACGATCTGGGACGCAGAAGAAGGCTATCGGAGTAGATAAAAACTGCAATCGCGAACAGCGGAATGAATCGGAATGTGTAGTAATCAATGGCATCTTCGAAATTCAATATGCCGCATGGGTTACGGCGACAACTAGGCCGTGCCAAGCTATAGATGAGATCACTCATTCATGAGTAAATATATATGTGTGTGTGTGTGTGAGCGTGCGTGTGTGTATTTATATACTGTACACACATACATAGATACATGTATGTAAATGGAAAAAGGTTCGATGAGCAAAAGAGTGAGGGAGGAGGAGCAGTGTAAAAGGACAGAGAGCTCTTCTTTTTTTTCGTTCTCTCTTTGTTGGACACGCGGCTTTTGGAGAACGACGGACATCGAAAATAACAGCCGCAAGTCGCGGTGAACGTAGTTAATATTGATTCGAGCTAGATTCACACGCGAACTTTACTTGAACCGGAACACCGCTACTGTTTTAACTACCCAGTGCTCGAGCTTTGTTTTCGAAATTGGTTTAAAAGTCACCACAGGGAGTTCCTGGTTTATCTCACAATCAATAAAAAGTTCCGAATTAGATGAAACGTATTCTCAGTCTGTCGGGTAAATTGAAGCAAATGTTACTAATCCGAATGATGGTGTATTAAAAGCAATGTTCAAACGAGTAGATCCGAGGGGGAAACCACTGAGGGCGTTGTGGTGTACAGATTCGCGGCACTACTGGGCATTTTTGGGCATTAGTTTGGGCATTAGGCCTCGCTGGAACGTTATAAAGATAAAATAAGATAACGCAAGATAAATATGATAATAAGATACAGTAATGCCCGCTGGGCATTAGTGGGCATTGATGTACAAGATGTTGGTCAGCGGTTTTCCCCTCGAGCAGATCTCGTGAATCTTCGGAGGAAGCTGAAGCGGGACAAATAATTCCGGGAATAAAATATCTGCTCGTTTCAAACAAATGGGTGAAAGACATAAGTAAAATTGTAATATAACAAGGACGGACAGTTAAAAGTATAATTTTCGTCGCACCGCAATTATGACTACAATATTACGAATTCCATCGTGTCAAGTTTTATTTTTGTACAGCGCTCATGCCGATTATTTATGGTGTTTTTACGATAAAGATTGTTTTTGCGAGTTCGATCGCGAAATGCGGTCGCAGATACGGCGCATATTTCCCTGTTCGCGCTCCGCAACTTCGTGCAGCACGTATTTTTCCGGTTAGCTATTCATTATATGCGTAACGGCCAGGTGCGATTGTTCGCACAAATGGCCGCTCGTCGAAAGACACATACAGTACAGAAATTGTTATTGCAACTCCGTACAATGACAACATAGATATTATTCAGGATAGTCCGGCACAACTGCTGATTTCATTCACAATGCAATCTTCATTACATACGCGTAGTAAATGATGCATTATCACGTTACGTCATATTCGTCATCGTGTCGCATCGTGTATCTAGTAGGTGCACGTGCGATGTTTGCATTATCGCCATGTATTTTTTAATTCTCGATCGTTTAATTGTTACTTTGTTATCTGAAATAGAAACTCGAAATATTGGCTGGAATTCTTTTTGTACTCCGACAGTTCCATTAATTTACTTGATTAAGAAATTCGAGAAATAATGAAACAACAGTGATTTTCCAGCAGTAAAACACTTTCTAAATAAAGTCATTATCATTAAAATACTTTTTTATGCTACAAATTAATCTACAATTAAGATGAAGCATTTATTTGTTGTGTGATTCTTTCTGAGCGCACAACAAATTTTCTATCGGTAAAAAACTTTTTTGCTAAATAAAAGAATGATCTTTCAGTTCTTTTTTAACGCTTTTGATATTGCAAATTAATCTGCGACGAAAGTAAGAAACTATTTACTTGTTGTTCTTTCTAATTACACCATTTTTATATTACGTTAATTTAGAGGAAATCGCAGTCGTAGGAAAAGATAAAATAAAAAATAGATATACACAACAGAAAATAATTAATTATTTATCATACAATAAACTACAACCTTTTATTTTTGTCTGTTCATGTTTATTTCACAAGAAGTACAAGTGTTGCTATTTGAAAAGTAGGTTTATTGATTAAAATCAGAGTTGATGTTCCTTAGAGTCTGTATATGGACCATCATCTTCGTTTTATTGCCCGAACGCTCGACTCGTAAGCACTCTTCTGGATACACCGTGCGGCGTCGCTACCTAAACAGTGTCTTAAATTTTTCACGATCCGGAAAACTCCTCTCCTAATAGACTGGGCCACTTGTGTGTCAAGTCCTGAAAATTGATTTCATCTTCTTTCGCTCGTCTGCAATTCTATGATTAATCAATCACGTCCAGATCTCGTTCCGAATCGTTTTCAAACCGAAGAAATGCACGATGGAAGAACCGTGTCCCGTTTTGAACCGTATATCGTCCACCAATAATATATCAGCGTAAGTCTTAAGGATATAATGGCTATATATAATCGAGGGCGTCCGCAGGGGAAAAGGGCAAGAGAGAGGGCACTTGTCTCCTCCCTTGAAGATGAAAAAAAATATAGGCAAGAGCTTTCACAGGAGACGGCAAAGAGGGCATTTGCCTTCCCCCCCCCCCACATCGGAATCAGCAAAAAATTAAATAGTTGCTTTTCCTTTGATAAATCGAGAAGAGAAGTTATACACCACAAATAAAATATTTACTCTTCTTTTGATGAAAGAGAAGAAATTTATGTACCAAAAGGTGTATACATTTGAATTAATAAGTATTTTAATTGCGGAAGTAACATTTAAATCATGCCCTCCCCTCTGGAAAAGC